GTTGATGATTCTTGTATACAGAAGAAAAAACCTCATAAAGTCGTAAAAAGACAAAAAAATAAATTATATAAACATTTAATTAATAAAGTTTCACTTTCATTGATTAGTTATTATTATCTTCCACTAATCATTGATTAATGTTTTGAATACTTGTATTATAATTATAAATCGATAAGATAATACATACCAAAAGGTTGAATTATTGGTTAGATGTTGAAAATAAAATCATCAAATACTTTTTTTGGTCAAAGTTAACGTATATACCAAAAGATGGATCTTCCTTTTTCAAACTTTTATTTTGTTTTATTTAATTTAAATTTTAATAAGTATTCAATATAACGTCTATTTACAAACTGAAAAGAATTTTTTATGCATTTCACTTTAATTTTTTATTAATTTTTTTTTCTTCAAAAAGCATAATGATGTATACTTTTGAACCAATGAATTTGTGTTATGTACTTAATCATGCTAGGGAGCTCTTTGATCGCCTAACATGATAGAAGACGAAATAACTAATTATCGGTTGTACTAGTTAGGAAAATATCATCAATAAAGTTTCATAAATGATACTTTAGATTTTTCGAAAGTTTTTGAATATTAATTATAAGAAGAAAAATAGTGAACTAATATTTTGTATATTGTATTAAGAAAAATATTTAAACAGACATATCATTTATCAGATAATTACAGATAAATCTCTTCTAAAATAAATATTGATAATTTCATATAAGTAATTTACTATCATAAATTATAATCCAATAATAGTTATACTAACAATATATATAACCTAATATAATTCATATATAATAAAATTTTGCACTTAGAAGTACTCTATGAAATATGGAGAACTATTACATACGTGAGCCATGCATGCATGATCAAGAAGTCTTTTCAATTTTTAAAAAGAGCTTAGTGCACATACTTTTTTGGAGTTGGACCAAAATAGTGATAGATAGATGTAAGGGTTACCAACCATGGGACCTAAGGTCGTAACGGAATGAATATGATCTGATCTAGCTTCATTTTTAATTAGAGGTTTTGATTTTAAATTTTAGATGTGATTTTTTTTTCCGTCTAGGTTTTAATATTGATATCGAATATCGATTGAGAATTAGGTAGCTGCATGTCAGAGTTTTCTTGTGGTAGTCTTCTTCTTCTTTTGTCTCTCTCGATTTTCTCTTTATAACTATTTGATATCTTTAATTGATCTTTAATTTCCTTTTTAGGTGTGTTTATATAATTGATTGATTATAATTATTTTGGACAAATCTTTTGTTGGTGAATGGTTCAATTCAAATGAATCTTCGGTCTAATTCAACCTAATTTTAGTTCACTATGTAACTATTGGTACTTTTTTCATCTCATTTAATTTATCCTTCACTTTCTTGACTCTTATCTTTTTCTTGTTAATTATTAGCTGCTCCTCTGATTGAGTAGTTTAGTAGCTTTTGCAACCAATGGTAAATGGTAACATTTGAATTATTGTTACTTTAATTATTTGTTTTCATGCTTATGTAGTGCTTAATTATTAGTTATATCATTCTCAACAAATTAAAGTATAGCTACTTTAAATTTTTTAAAAAAATAAATCCTTTTTACAGTCAAAAGGCAGTCTTGCCAATTCAATTGTGTCAAATCATTATTAACTGATCCATGATATAGTACTATGGTAGATATTTTAATGGCTAAATATAGACAGAGTTATGGAGACGGATTTAGGATTTTGAGGGTAGTGAGTGTCATATCGTTAGATTAATCAATGATAAAATTATTACTCATTAAGTGGCAACCGTTTGTAATGGTGTTAACGCTGATTTTTCATGTGTGGAATACGGATTCGAATTCAAGCCCCAACATTTTTATTTTTCAAAAGAAATGGAAAATGCATTAAAAAATGAGCTAACAGAGAATCGAATTTGCGACCTAAAAGCCAGAAATTAGATCCTTAACCACGGGCACCACAAGCCTACTTGTGTCTGGGGGTGACAAATTTAATATTCATAAGCTTTTTGTGCAGATATACATGTATATATATCTATATATAAAATTTCAATCGAGATCACTGGGTATCGTGACACCCCCACCTTTATACATAGATCCGCCTTATGACAAAAATATCTTAAATTAACACGAAATTTCATTTAGACATATGACATAAGTCATAAACATATCCAAAGGATCCTACATCTTAGAATACTTGTCGTGTTTTAATTTGCATGCCCTTTTAAAAATTATTAGTATAGTCAAAGGTTCCTACATCTCAAACCATTAGTTGTTTTCTCTCTCTTACGTTGTAGCTTCTCACGGTGGACGAAAACAAGAGAGGTCAATGAGAGTTAGAGTTAAGAATCTACGATTAATTTAAAGGATTACTCCCAGATACAATTGTTCTTCCCTTTCGTATACTATTATGAAATTCTTGTTTGGCGTATGATTATTTTACTTTTATTTATGTCTTGTGATTTAATCTCTCTCCATTGAGTATATACTTATTTTGTTTTATGCGTCATAATTTAGATGTTTGTAATCTTCAAAATAATTTACTAGTAAGGGTCGTAAATGAGGAAAAAATAATTAATTTTATCTCAAACTTTTAATCTTCTAGTTTCTCGATTTATTTTCTTCATGTTCAATTTCGGGATAATGCACAAGTACCTCCTCAACCTATGTCCAAAATCTCAGAGACACACTTATACTATACTAAGGTCCTATTTTCCGCTGAACTTATTTTATTAATTATCTCTACCACTTTTTGGTTCACGTGGCACTATCTTGTGGGCCCAACACTGGTTGACTTTTTTTTCAAGCTAGTGTCACGTAGACCGAAAAGGGGTAGAAAATTACTTATAAAATAAGTTCAGGGATAATAGGATCTTAGTATAGTATAAGTGTGTCTCTGAGATTTCGAACATTGTGCATTTTCCCTTTGATTTCATCAAAGTTTGTTTGTTTTTTTCCCCAAAAATTACGTAGCTTAAAGTTAGCAAAAATATTATTACCAAACCTTTCTCTTGATACTTACGTGCACAATGTAAAATGATGGAAGTACAATTATTATTCATTATGTGTGAATTCATAAATTATGTGCAGTACACATTTGGGACCAAAAAAAAGAAAATGAAATGGAGCTTTCTTATCTACAAATAACATAAACAAAAATTAAAAAATTTAGACATATATGTACATATTTTAATTATTTTTCTCTTTTATCAGGTGGGTATTTGTCCTCTTTTTGACTTTGACCTTCTTAATATCCATTCATTTTCCTTCTTTTGGTATTTTTTTTAATCACCATCTTATTCTAAAAAAAAAAGGTAATTTTGACATAATCAAGATTTAATATGAAAATTCATGCTTAGCCCCTTAGGTATACCTCTCTTCAACTTTTTAAAAACTTTGCATTATTAAGAGTAATAATATCCCTTTTGGATGATTATATTATTTCTCTTTTTCATTAAGAAAGACAATGTGTTATTTATTACTCCCTCTGTCTCATTTTATGTAACACTTTTCGTTTTTCGAGTGTCAAACAGTTTAACTTTGACCGAACATTTGCTTATGAAATTTTCAAATTTTTTGATACGTAAATATATATGTCTAAAGAATTAATCATAATTTATGGATAGAATTGTTTTCCATAGGTAGAAAAGGAAATATGTGGAATAGTTGGTTGAGAAGAAATGAAAACTTTCACTTTCTTCATCTTTTGATTTAATCCATAATAATAATAATAATAATAATATATATAGTATATAATAAGTTATAATACATGTCTCTTTCTATCTCTTTTAATAATTAGATGTGTAGACCACACACTTACGTATAACACATTTAGAATTTAAGTAATTTTCATGCCCCTATTATATATGCAAAGGCCGGTGTCACAAAATTGGCCCTCTCTTCGTCTTAATTTATATGTATCGTTATTTTATATTTAATCGGTTCAAAAAATATATATTTATTTAAAAATTATTGAACTTTTAAACTTTTTATTTTATCTTTCTTATTGTTTATAGTATTTTGTAAATAATTAGCAGAACGTTATATTAGACGATAGAGGCGATGGGGGTGGGGTGGGGGTGGGGGTGGAGAATAAGGCATGAAATAATATTTTTTTTATTTGTACTTAAAAATAATATTTTTCTGATTTTAAGAAATTGATTTCTTAGAATTGAAAAAATGAGTTGGTGACTATCCAAACGGAAAAATGTCTTCATACATATTATAAAAAAGATACCTTTAATAAGATAATTTATAAAATAAATTATTTAAAAAAATTATATTAAACTATATATTCAGATCAAATATCGTTACATAAATTAGGTTCGATATAATATTTCTCATTATTCTTTATAGGACATATTACGTACGTTGTCTTTTCCAAGTTCATACAATCATAGAATTAATTCTTTTCACGTCATCCTAAAACTTGCCAATAATTGTCCTTTTCTTTTTTCTAGTTTCTTAATTTCATGCACCAATTATTGATTCACAAAGTAACGGTTTAAAATATATTCGAATTTTGATCAAAATTGTTATAATAATTTTAAACTTTGAGTAGGATCTATTATCACATATACTATTTAATAGTATATTTTAAAGGTATATACGTACTCGCATGGACAATTTACTATTTATAACAATCTCAAAGTTTGAGATTTCTACAACAATTTCGATCAAAGTTCGAATATATTTCAAACCTTTTTCTGCTTCCTATATAAGAAAAGGTTTTTTTACTCCCTCCGTCTTTGTTCGCTATTTTAACAATAAAAGTAATAATTATTGTTATTTTTATTTTACTCTCAATGTTAATTATTTGTTCCTCAAAACATATATATCGTCGATCAGAACTCAAAATGAACAATTAACGGAGGGAATAACATAGAAAACCGTGTTTGGCAGAAAATAATTGGCTAAAGAAAAACTATAGTGGGAAATACCTAATAATAAATAATCATATATTGCAACATGTGGTACACTTATAAGTGACGTTGGCTTCATGCTAGATTATTATTATTTTTAATATATAGCATAGTATTATTATAAGTTTATGGATAATACCAACCTACCTAAATGATTGTGACTTCTAACAATTCACGTAGTAACCTAATACAATAATTATTGTGTACTCCCACATTGCTAGTGTAACGATATAGTTCAGAATTCAACAAGTTCTTGTAGTATAAACAGTGATATCCGATAATATATTTGATCAATGCATAATAAGCGAGTGGTTGTAATACTTTCGACATGAAATACCATATCACAAGAACAATCTCATTGTAATTTTTGTCATTTCTAAATGTATTGTCAATTAGCTAAGAAGCCTTGACATACCTTATTGTGGTCTACAGAGCCAATGAAGTGTTTACTTCTCGATAACTCGTTTAGCTCCATCCAATGTATTCTTCAGAAGCATTGCAACAGTCATTGGTCCAACGCCTCCCGGAACTGGAGTTATCCAGCCAGCCACCTTACATGCTTCCTGAAAATCGACATCTCCAACGAGCCTATAACCTGACTTTCTTGTAGGATCATCTACAGCATTTGTTCCAACATCAATTACTGCAGCACCAGGTTTGATCCAGCTGCCTTTGATCTGAAAAAACATGGCAGCAAATTGGTTTAGAAGCCAGCCCTCTAAGTTCTACATATCTTCAAATAGAGACGGAGGGAGTAATACTTAATTGGGAAAGCTATATCGCAAGGGCATAGGAAACAAAAACTAATGAATTGAGAAAAGGAGGGGTTTTTGGGAGAGTGAGAGGTAAGAAATGGATGGTAACAATTACCATCATAGCCTGTCCTGCGGCAGCAATGATAATGTCTGCTTCGCGAATGATTTTCTCTGGTTCTTTGGTGCGTGAATGGACTACAGTAACAGTGGCGTCTTCCTTCAGAAGAAGAAGAGATACTGGTAATCCAACAATGTTGCTTCGACCAACCACAACTGCGTTCTTCCCCTTTATGCTAATCCCACTTCGGACTAAAAGCTCGATGCATCCCTGTTTAACAGAGACCAGATAGGAGTGATTTTATAAGACAACAGAAGATGGTTGTATTATAGTATAGATTTGAACATATATTCTTAGTAAGGCAAAAGAACTAGAGAACTGTATGTTTCGATCTTCCATTTCTTAGAATAAATGAAGTTTATGTTATTACCTTGGGCGTGCAAGGGTTGAACAAAGGTTGTCTGCCTTTCATTGCAAGCTTGCCGATATTCAGAGGATGAAAGCCATCTACATCCTTTTCCAGACTGATTTCACACAGAACTTTCTCTTCATTAATATGTTTTGGTAACGGAAGCTGTACCAGTATACCTGTAGCAATGCCACAAAGTGCATTCAGTTGACTTGTCTTAGTTATGATCACAATATTCCACCCCATACACTCGAAGGTCAACGATATACTTGCAGAATGTAACTAATAAACCAGAACTGAAAGGCTTACTTAAGGAAAAATAGAAAAAGAAAAACATCTACAATAGTGAGATAAAACTCACAAAAAACGCCACCAGCTGAGAATGAGAACGTAAGATATTCTAACCACCCAATTTAAAAAGTCATGCTAGAGGTGATCTATATATAGTAGCAGCAGCAAAACACCCAGATGTATAGTATAGAACTACAAAAGCCAAAGATGGGTACCGCGTGGAACCTATCAGAGACAACATATTAGACGAGAGATCTAATATGAAGATGTTCGTAATGTGTCAAATACACATAACCAAACCAACTGAAGTGGTACACATTTAGTACCACAACATGAAGCAATATACAGGTTGCATGCATAATAGCTGGTTAATATAGATGCCACTATGTTGCCAAGAATTAACACCATAAATTTTATCTAACGGAGCAATTTCATATCAGAATATATTGCATTCAGCCTACAATAGTTAGGACCTTATGATTTTCTTTTGAACTAACTAGACAGGACAATGTTGGCTTAAAAAACTTGGTAGTTCAAAATAAAAGTATAGCATGGATTAACAAAAAGGATGTTGGTTTATCATGACTTTGCATCAGAAATTTTGATTTTACACAAATTTTACTTCCTTGCTGCTGATCATAAGTTGGGAGTAATATTTAATTGCTGATGGATCGTAAGTATACTTCAAGGTTCGTAAGTGGGGGTGGGATGTGTTCTTGTAGAGACATCTAACCCTAGTTTTCCACTAACTTTTCTTAAGCCTGGAAGTCAGGTTGACTGTTCTTTTTCAATTAAGACTTGGTTCAAATAGAAGTTTGTGTACCAGCTATTAGCTTATGGATCCCAGATTCCGTCATGTGGGGTTCACTGTGAACCCTCAGTTAAGTGCATTCGGGAATCTGGGCAAATCCATCGCAGTTGGTGGAGCTGGATTAGAGGTGGTTATTGGGCTGATATCACCATACGGCTTAATTCAATAGGCTCTTCAGTCCGTCCATCCCTGCCCCAAAAGGAATCAAACGAAAATGGAGTTCAATTGGTGGATCTAACGATCAGCCAATTGGTTCATCTTTGTGACTACTTTAGGACATTCGTCAAGTTCCTCAGATATCAAGGGGAACTCAGACGCTGCATGCACTTCAATGTCTTCAGCATGAGAAAATGATGGAAGAGTCCTCGATGGACCTGGACAGGGACTTTAGTCTCCATCTTGATAGTGAGAAAACTTCAAGCTCTAGAAAGTCTGCTCACCCTGAGTCCAAAAAACTTGCCCAAGGTCTTGCAGTCGACCTGGAACTAAGTCTCACTAGTAATGCTGCTGAATCTGATGTGACTACTGCGCATTTGCGCTGCACTTCACCACAAAGTATCATCATGAAGGCGCCGCAGGCAATGGCTGGAGCTTTACACACATGAAGTATCAACAGCTATACATTGGAAGACTAGCAACATTTTCCATCCATTTACTAACTCCCCAGGAAACTGGGGCTAGTTACTTATTGAACCAGGCTGCAACACAAATCAAGCAAGCTACATTCTCCCCCGATCTGTCGTCAAGCATAATCACAAATTCAAAGGGCTCAGTCACCTGTACTTCCAGGTTAACAAAACAGCAGCAGCAACAACAACAGCAGGATAGCAGTAGTACTAAACAGTGTCAGTTCAAGGGATGCGTCAAAGGAGCAAGAGGTGCTTCTGGCCTTTGCATTGCCACGGTGTGGGCCGCAAGTGTCAGAAACCAGGCTCACACAAGGGCGCCGAGGATCGGACTGCATTTTGCAAAGCCCATGGGGAGGGTCGTCGGTGTGAATTCCTATTTTGTACAAAGAGTGTGGAAGGACGCACCGACTTTTGCATTGCACATGGGGGTGGACGCCGTTGCAGTGAAGAAGGATGCAGCCGTGCTGCCAGAGGGAAGTCTGGATTATGCATTCGGAATGGTAGGGGCAAGAGGGCTGCACCAAAAGTGCAGAAGGACTTTCTGGCGTTTGCATTTCACATGGAGGTGGCAAGCACTGTCAGTACCCCTAATGTACTAAAGGCGCACTACCATGTTTTGCAAGGCACACGGTGATGGTAAGCGTTGTACCTTTAAAGGGGGAAGAGGGGAGCACAGCTATCTGTAAGGGTCATGGTGGTGGGAATAGATGTTCATTCCAAAGAAATAGGCTCTGCCCGAAGAGTGTTCATGGCACACACTCTTCTGCGTGGCCCATGGTGGTGGCAAGAGGTGTCCTGTGCTAGAGTACCAGGAGTGCAAGGGGAAGAACTGATTTTTGTGTACGACATGGTCGTGGAAAAAGATGCGAAGTTGAAGGCTGTGGAAAAAGTGCTCAAGGAAGCACCGGTTTCTGCAAAGCCCGTGGCGGAGGGAAGAGATGCTCTTGGGGTCAGAGTGAGTCTTAATTTGGGCAAGGTGATGGTCTTGTAAGTCATTTGCCAGAGGGAAGACTGGACTTTTGTACATCTCATGGTGCTCCTTCAAGACAAACGCGTTCATGGTGGTGCCATGCTTGGGACTATGGTCCTGGATCTAGCGCCAGGCCAGCCTGAGAAGATGAAGGAGATTGTCAACGTGGAAGACATCTGTTTTGATGTCACAAAAATGCAGGGTAGTGGTATGACATCCGGCAATGACTCACATGAAATAGCAGTTTCTGAAGGAAGGGTGCATGGAGGTTGTTTGATGGCATTGCTACCGGTGGTTCTGGCCGTATCTCAAACAGCAGCAAGGGACCAGTTCCTGCATCTGAACCAGGGAGTTCTTACGTAGTCTTTAAGAAATGGAAGTAAGATGTACAGCCACTCTCAATTTGGTTTGTAGGTCTGCAGTGTTCCACCGCTATGTTTGTGTCCTTTCCATTTTAGTTTCTTCACTCTTTCTTATGTTATATGGGTTTGAACTGGAAGTTGTTACTGCTAAATGTATCTGTATCAATAAGGGGATAAACCCCACTAGGGTCATTGATATTTGTACATAGCTTTTTGGTCTAGTGAATATTTCGTTCGAGTATGGAAAAAAAAAAACTGTGATATGTCCAATCCAAATACAGACCAATAAGACTAAATTTGACCACTGAAAAACAGATGTATAACAAAGGAAAATGCAAGAATATTAACTTCATATTATCGCAAAAGACTAACCATGTACATCAGGATCAGCATTTAGCTCATGGACCTTGCTAATCACCTCAGCTTCAGCTACATCCTCTGGGAGGTCTATATCAAAAGACTTAATGCAGAGCTCAGCACAAGATTTTCTCTTCATATTCACGTAACTTTGTGAATCCTTCCTATTTCCTACAATGACAACTGCCAACCCGGGGACCTGAAAATAACAAAAACTTCGACAGTTGAATACTACATAACCATGAAAATTACAATTTCTGATGAAGGACAATGCTTCACCAGCTTCATACTTCAAATACATCATCCACACACATTTAAGTATGCACATACTCTTTCAGTTTCTTCGTCAAATGCACAAGTAAAAATTTCTGTACATGGACTCACTTATACACACAGATGCACTTGCCAAGATAAACTAACCTTGCCATACTTTTCTGAAAGACGTTGGACTTCAGAAGCAATCTCAGAACGAATAGTTTGAGCAATTGCTTTACCGTCAATGATGGTAGCCTTGTGATCTGATGGCGATGCCATTGTATCTTCAGACGAGATATAAATTACCTATAACTTCAACACTGCTAGTTTCAATAAAAGAAAAATAGTTAAGACTAGAATAAGAATAGGCATATTCAAAGTCAATGATCTACTACATAAATCCATAACATATAAACCAGCTACAAATTTACTTTTTGCAATCATTATATATCAAAGTGTATAGGGATTACAGGGAACCTAACTAAAGTTTGTCTTTTTACATGGACTGATTATACATCCTTTACCAACATAGCTGGAACATTTGCACTACTACTCCCTTATGCCATAGGGCAGTAAAATAATTTTTTTTTTTGATATATAAAAACTAAAAGCCGGTTTGAATTGACTTTTTTTAAGTGTTTTTAACCAGTTTTGTAGTGTTCGGGTAAAATAAAAAAGTGCTTATAAGCAATTGTTTTTAAGCCTAAATAACAAAAATAAGCTAAAAGTCAATCCAAACAGTCTCCAGAGCATTTAATTGAGTGTTTTGCTTGTGAACTTCATGATTGAATATCTCTATGAATATTATGAAAGCCACAATTTTAATAAAAGCACAACCTTTCATCACACTGCTGTATAACTTTTAGGTTATGTTACTCAAAAACCCGAGCATCTTTTGAAAATAGCCTCTCTATTTCATAACGAGGTAAATGTAAACATCTGGTACACTCTATCCTTTTCAAAGCTTAATTAGTCGATTATATAAACTCAGTTTCTAATGTATTTTTGGAGAATCGAACGCGAATGAGGAATCGAAAAATGAAGAATCTGCGCAACAGATAAAATTGAAAGAGGAGAATTTAGTAGCGTACCTTTTAGTCAATTAATAGGAATCGGCTCTTCAGATCTGTAAGGAATAAATATTGGCGAAAATTGGAGCTGACGAAGGAGAGTAGGTGAGATTTAGGGAGAAGATATTTTTTTTTAATGTCCAAATGTGAATAAAACATAAATATTACCAAAAAGAGAATAATAAAATATAAAATAAGCTTCTTCTTTTTTTCAACTGAAATACTTGTTTGCAATATATATTTTAAAAGGAAATTGACTGCAAAGATAAAAATATAATGAAATAGAGATTTTATTGATAAATATGTGATTTTATGAACTTTAAGAAAGATAATATTTAATGCCTTGAAGATGGATCGAACTCGTTTTGTAGAGTCTTATTTTGAGTTCGATGTCTATGCTATGCAATTTGTAAACCAAGGTCGGGAATAGATTCATATTCACTTATTTATAAGCCCTGAGTTCGAGCCATGCTGTGAGGAATAGGAGGAATGCTTTAGGTGAATTTTGAGCAGTGAAATCAACCTAATACTTTTAGAATCTTGAATGATTGAAATGATCTTCGAATACATAAAAATTTGATACTTGTTGTAAACTTTAATCTGATACAAGTTCTCCACATAACATCAAAAGTGATGTAACTGGTAAGTAGTTCACACAATCGCGTTGTAAACGATAAGTTTCAGAAGTGGAGTCTCGTTTTGCTGTTTCTTATACTTGGCGAAAGAAGCAGCATGGAGTGGAGTAGACATACTCCGTTCAGTGACTGTAAAAAGGCGATAAGCTACAGAAAGGAGTAACCAAATTTAAGAAAATGCAGCTAGAAATGATCAATTCTGGTGTTGAGACATAAACAATGGAGTAACATTATCACCAGAATCATTCGGGGATATTCACAACGAAGTGTTTTCAGTCTGCGATGAGACCACTCAAGTTGGACTCACCTATACATGAACGAAACCAATTGAGACAGAGAACTAAATTCTTATGCAGAAGCACGTTTGAAACGTAGTTGCATCATCATATTCATGGCTATTAGCCTGTTAATAACAACTATTTGACATTCATCTGAACAACCTAGCTTTATCTTCGACTGTTGTCATGATGTCTTCACGGACAATAGCTTACCTCAACAAGAAATACAAAATTTTAAGAAAGTCGAGCACTCTTGTGCAACCACGGAATAGATTAGATTTTCTCAGAGAACCATATTGACCAATATACTTATAGAATGTAGCTACTGCAACTCGCAGGTCAATTACTACATCAACGCTCCCAAATTGACATCGCGGTCATTATTTGTCACTCGTAGCCTATGGGGGTCTGATAAGAGAAACACAGTGTTAACTATAACATAATTACACTGGTAGAATTAGTTCATCTAAGTGAACTACTATTTGCATTGACACTCTGCAACAAATCCTAATTCTGTACTTGAAAGTGAATTCACAGTATTATAAGGGACAAACAGAAATGATTTTATAGAGAGTTACTAAAAACAGAAACAATATCTATCCAACAAAAGGTTCTAAATCAAAGACTTATGAAGTGTTATTCTGAAAACAGTCTCTACAAATATCGATAAGCCAAATTGACATAACAAGTTAACAGTTACGAGTGACTATATGAGAAATCAACTCCAGTGATTATCAATCATCCCTATTTGGAAACAAAGTAAGAACCTTCCTCCCATTAGCAGTTGTAGCTGATTCCAACGCAGGACTACTACTATGCACTGATGTCCCCATTCTCTGAGCCGGCTGCTGCGACTGCCGGGGCAAGAATGGAACCTCAAACTGCCCGTTGGTCGGTGACCCGAAATGCCTATACTGCTGCTGAAATTGTGGAGCATGTCCAACAACTGCAGACATTGGCACAAATGGCATGTAATGATCAGAATTTCCCCTCCCTGGATGCAAAAAATGTGCAGGCACGGGTGAACTCGCAAACAGATGATCTGTTGCGGGATCCACCCCTGCCCCAGAAACACTGCCACTATGAGATAAACCCTGCATACGTTTCAAATAAAGCCTATACTTTTGCAAATGACTAGCAACATTTTCACGAGTTAAGCCATCTACACTCATCAACTGCATTATAGTCTTGGGAACAGCATTCTTGATCCCCAATTGTGCAACTGCATCCACAAACCTCTTATGTAGCTGTGGGGTCCACACAAGTCTAGGCCTTTTTAGGGTACGGGCAGGTTCATCACCAACACCTGATGAACCTGCCATGCCACCCAACTCAGCCGAGTTCGAGTCGAACTCGGCTGATGAAAGAGTATGAACTAGTGGTGTTATTTTGGGATTTGGGGTATTGGGGTTTTGAATATCAAAAGCTATAGCTAGATTAGGAGTAATTAAGGTTTGGGATAGAGGCATTAGTTCCTTTGGAGAAGGTAATTCTTCTTCCCATTTAGCAAACCAATTGGAATCTTCTTCCCTCATTTCCCCTAACAAAATCTTGGATTTTTTTTGGGTACTTCAAGATTGATGGAACAATTGAGAATTGAGCTGAAAACTAAGATAAAACTAGAAAAAGATCAGATTTTTATGAGATGGGGTTGTAAATTTTCTTGGAAAGTTGTTTCCTTTATGAGAATTCAGATTGATGGACCAAGAAAAGAAGTGTTCTTGAGAGTGATAAAAACTTGAAAGATTAGATTTTTATGGGAAGGGTCAATTTCTGTGTTTCTTGGAAATTCAGATTGATGGACTAATTGTCAAAAATGAACTGAAGACCAATGATAGAACAAGATAAAAAGGAGTAAGCTTTTTAAGAAAAGATTCCTTATTTTTTTGTTTCTGACATGGGGTTTGTCTTTTTTTGGTCTCCTCTCTCTATCTCTCTTAGAAAAGCTTTGAAGGGGAAAGACAAATGTGGTGACTTTCCAAATTTTGCAATTATGGTGGTTTTGGTTGTATTAGGCTGTGGGGTTGGGGGTGTTTGAGGTGGATCTTATTTTTTTTTCCCTATTCAGCTTTTTATCATGGTTACTGTTCTTCATTCTTTCTTATGGTTTTTGTGGAATTTTTGGGATGAGAAGATGGTGTTGCAGTTTGGGGTGGGGTGGGGTGGGGGGGTTGGTGTTTACTTGTTGGAATTTGAGGGTCTTCGTGCTGACTTGATCAAGGTTTTGATTTCAATTATTTGATTTCATTTCAAGATTTCATGTGAAGGTTCCTCTCTCTCCCCCCACAAGGGCCACAACGTATTCAATGAAATGACAGGTATTTTATGAAGAGGCTCAAGCCAAATTTCACATATTATACGCGATATTGAATCATGTCCTATTCGCAATCAAAGTTTGTTAAGGCCAAGACGAACCACAAGTTAAATGATGGAAAATTTGATACAGTGTAACAACCTTTCACATTGTTGATCAAATAAATTGTTTCCAATTGCTCAAAATAAATCTATCACCAAGGAACTGAAATGATTCCTTTAGGACAGCAGATACAAATTTCAATGCATTGTTTAAATGAAAAAAAGAAAACTTCAAAACTATAACTAAGCCCTCTCTCCTTTTTATTCATGAAGAGCCCAACAGGGAAATGGCTGGAGGATTCAGTGCAACAGCACCTCTATGCGAACTCGAATACTTCCTGTATATCACCCTTAGCTTGTGTTGTGGTGCCTCCATATGATAACTCACCAGCAGCTTAGCACAACCTAGTAGCTGAGACTCTGAGAAACCAGTATGCAATTTCAGTGTCTCATTCCAAAAAGGACTACAATTAAGCGCGTGTCGAGCAACATAGACTGCTGAAGCAGCAATCATCGACGAGCAGTAGCTATTCGTAGCATAATTCATCAGCCCCAATTCAGCTAGGAAATAAACCATGTTTTCCATTGAGGTCACATTGCAAGAATTCAAGACAGTGACATTGGCTTGTGCATCAGAAACAGCAGCTTTGATGAATCGAACAAGGAACACATAAGGCGTTGGTACCGTTAAGTACCACTCCAACTGTCCAAGAATCCTTTTTTCCATTCCTAAAACCTGCTCATGATCATAAGCTCTGTCTGAGATGCACACAAAATCATTCACCTGAAAAAGTACATTATCATCAAATTGTTTCGTTAGTTAGTTACTTAGCAACTCGAAAAAATGGGAAAGTAACTTGCATAATTGAACTTATTAGTATACCTCAGGTGCCCAAATTTCTTCATATTTGGATGCAATTAGCATAGCACTCATGCCTACCAACTGCAATTCCCTCCTTGATGTAGTCGTTACAGCAAGGTAACGATCAACGATATTGATGGTGAGGTAAAGAGTCTCTTGATTTAGCTCAAACTTTTGATGTACCTCAATCAACCAATCAATCAGAATAGACCTCATCTTTTCATTTATCTCAGGCTGTGAATCCATGTAATCATGAATTCTGCTCTCATTCTATGTAACATCAAAAAGAAAATTGTAACGGTAAGTTCTATATACATTTTAAGATTTGTGAAAAGAACAAGAAAGATATTTACCTCAGCTATCTTATAGAAGGTGTAAATATCCTCAACATATTCCACCACTGCCAATTCATTATTCACATCAGTAGCATCAATGTCCACAATCTGGTTCTTTGGTTTATGACTTAAACCACAGGCAGCCTTTACAAACAGAAGCAAAATCAGATTATCATGTAACGGTCCGATAAATGAAGCATGACATTATATGATTGATAGAGGATTAAATGCTCACCTTACTCCTAGCAGTGAGAGTTGAAGTAAGAGTTGCTGCTTTCTTCATTGAAGAATCATTAGCAGCCTTCTTCTTTTGCTTGTTTTCCTTCACTTGTTCAACAGTATCAGGACTAATTTCGATCACCTCAGGCATTGGTTTTACAATGGCTGCTTTCTTCTGAGCTGGTTTTCTTGCTGCTGGTGCAGCTTTAACCGGCAAAGCTCCGTTAGCAACAATCGGTCCATCGCCATTAACAACCATTGATTTCTGTTAAGAGGTTAAAAAACAACAACCCCTTTATTAGTATAACAACTTCAGTT